ATGTAGTAAATATAAAGAGAAAAATATGTCAGGAGTCACTACATTAGACACCCGACGGTTAGAAAGGCGGCGTCCAAGAGTTAACTGCTTGATTCTGCAGGCACAAACAGTAAAAAACAAATAATATATATATATATACCTACTCCGGGGTTCAAGAGCTAAAGCTCGATCATACAGGCACAAATTTGAGCCAAAATTCCCATTACTTAAGGATAGAAGAATTAGAGGAAGCATGATCACCACTTTCAAGATACTGGAAGACACTAACAGAGTTGACAGGGGACATAATATCTGATATATGAAGGGTCAGAACCAGATGGCATAGATGAAAATTGAGTGCCAACATTTGGCTCAGAGACTCAAGAGAGACAGGTTACCTTACTTTCTTCAGTTACTGTCCCATTTGTATAGCATGTCAGGTGGCGGTGGTTGGTGCACCTGACGGTGGTTGGTGCACCTGACGGTGGTTGGTGCACCTGACGGTGGTTGGTGCACCTGACGGTGGTTGGTGCACCTGGCGGTGGTTGGTGCACCTGACGGTGGTTGGTGTACCTGACGGTGGTTGGTGCACCTGACGGTGGTTGGTGCACCTGACGGTGGTTGGTGCACCTGACGGTGGTTGGTGCACCTGACGGTGGTTGGTGTACCTGACGGTGGTTGGTGCACCTGACGGTGGTTGGTGCACCTGACGGTGGTTGGTGCACCTGACGGTGGTTGGTGCACCTGACGGTGGTTGGTGCACCTGACGGTGGTTGGTGCACCTGACGGTGGTTGGTGCACCTGACGGTGGTTGGTGCACCTGACGGTGGTTGGTGCACCTGACGGTGGTTGGTGTACCTGACGGTGGTTGGTGAGCCTGGCGGTGGGAGAGCAGCCACCACCAATAAAGGTCGTTCACCTTTCTTCTTCCCTTTCACTTCTCTGCCAAATGGATCTTGTTCCGTCCAGTTGTGACGCTGCGTGATTCATTCGCCGTCTGGTGCCATTCCTGCCGTGGGCTCTGCTGGCTGTCCTTGTCTGCTTCCCTCGAGAGAGAGAGAGAGAGAGAGAGAGAGAGAGAGAGAGAGAGAGAGAGAGAGAGAGAGAGAGAGAGAGAGAGAGAGAGAGAGAGAGAGAGAGAGAGAGAGAGAGAGAGAGAGAGAGAGAGAGAGAGAGAGAGAGAGAGAGAGAGAGAGAGAGAGAGAGAGAGAGAGAGAGAGAGAGAGAGAGAGAGAGAGAGAGAGAGAGAGGGAGAGAGTGTTGTGGTTTATAATGGTAATAAATGTTGGTCATCGTGCAGTCTCCTCTCCTGTGGTATTTACAATTATCATGTTAAACACGAGTGTTCAGCGCGTGCTTTTACCACATGTTAATTCTGCAATATTCCCTGCAGTTTCCCAGGTATTATATATCACCTAACAAACCGTATTCTATGTTTCATCATAAGATATCGATGAAGAAAATATCTAACATGAAGATTATTAAAAAAAATCAGTAAATTTAATTAAAAAAATTAGAGTCGGAGGATGCAGAGGAGGAGGAGGAGGAGAGGATGAGGAAGAGAAGAGGAAGAGGAGGAGCCGCAAGATCAACATTAACATTAACTAGTTCATACTTAGCTACCTCGAGCCAAGTACCACCAAAATTCGCTTCACCAGGTGGGCCACGAATCAAGTAAACGCTCACCCAGGAATGTTTAAGTTAAGCGGACCATACCCCGCGGCCCGCCACGAGACCCCGTGGTGGGAGAGCGTGTTCCAGCCGGATGTAATACGACCAGCGTACGTGGTCATAGTCACCATCGTAACAGCCTCTTAAAAGAGGTCAGAGGTCGTGGTCAAACTGCGGACAGTCAACTTCATGCTACACTGTAACTATAAGGTGTGAAGGATAAATGAAATTATTAATGTATTAATCTCCGCTGACTGATAAAGACCTTTTGTTCCCTCAGTAATCCTTCTTGCGCTACCGCTCACAGGATGAGTATGGGGTGCACAGTAAACTAGCCGCCTCCGGCCGCAACAATAAAAACAAACAATGCTACAGACAGCTTACGGGCCCCAGCAGTGTTGGAGAACATGTAAAATGGACAGAAAATGAAGGGAAAAATGAAATAATGCGATATTAAATTGAATGTGTTGGCGATATTTTTTAATTTCAACATCAACCCCATAGAAAAATAATTTTAAAATGCTGCCATCTTGAGCGATATCTTAAATATAATAATAGTAAACAAAAGGAATATGTAACCTTAAGAAAGCGAGCTTTAAAAGTGAATCGGTGACGAATGTTCTAGTTTGTCGAGGCGCCCGGGTCGGCCCCGAGGCCAGGGCTATCAGGTTCCCAGTATGACATTATACCTGCCTCCACAATGGCTCCTCCACGGCGGGTTTTTTGTCTTGGTCTTTTTAGACGTGTTAAACCATTGATTTGCTGTTTATTTTCATCTTAGTGAGTACACGTGTGTGGTTGTCAGTCACCTGTCTTAAGTAGAACGCGTCTATGGATGTCAGTCATCTGTCTCAAGGTTGTTAGTCATCTGTCTCAAGGAGAACGCGTCTATGGTTGTCAATCATCTGTCTCAAGTAGAACGCGTCTATGGTTGTCAATCACCTGTCTCAAGTAGAACGCGTCTATGGTTGTCAATCACCTGTCTCAAATAGAACGCGTCTATGGTTGTCAATCACCTGTCTCAAATAGAACGCGTCTATGGTTGTCAATCACCTGTCTCAAATAGAACGCGTCTATGGTTGTCAATCACCTGTCTCAAATAGAACGCGTCTATGGTTGTCAATCACCTGTCTCAAATAGAACGCGTCTATGGTTGTCAATCACCTGTCTCAAATAGAACGCGTCTATGGATGTCAGTCGTAGAGCGGATTAAGTTTAGTTATCTCTCTAGAGTTGTGGTCTTGTCTCGTATATTATCTATCAGCTCTACGTAAGTACGTGGACAAGAATCCCAAGTAAGGGCCAGAGTGCTTCACGATTGTTTGGAATCTGAGAGGCGTACAAAGTTCCCTGGGCACTTGTTTGGTGTCGGGCTTCAGGCCTATACCACCCCCTGGAGGGTAATTAAGACCACCTCAATAGCTCACTAACCAACCAGCAGGTTGACGTTAGCCATGAACATAGTTCAGAACTAAAGTAACCTCTTAGTGATAAAGGGGGTGAACCTCTCGGTATAAACAGAGACGTGAGAAGGGGGTAACATTTGTCCCCCTCATGGAGAGAGTGGCATCAGTCTCTACACTAATGTATTGATCAACGGATTATATGTCACGGTAATAATCATCTTTATTATTATTATTTTTAATCTATAATTTGTGGCTCACGTGACATTTTGTTTATTGTTTTGATTATTGTAAGCGCGAACTGCATTTGATAGGTAGTTATCTTTGTTAGTCTGTTGATTTGTAATTTATAAAATGTTTTGCATTATGCTTATTATTGTGTGTTATGCGTGACTAGTGGGTGCGGGGAGACTGTTATACGCAGGTTGAGATCAGCCCCATCTAGGAATATCAGCCCCACTTCATGATGTCAGTGGAGATGAAATGTTTGTCGCGGTGCCCATAGAGTTTTACACTTTTTCATAGTATTGCAGAATTCAGATATCTGTACTGACAAGAAAGCACATATTCTGATAGCATATTTGTACTCTGGGGTCACCGCTGAGTATCCCTTATAGTAATAATATAAAAAGTATTTTTTTTAATAAATACATAAAAATATATTTTTAATAATTATCATGTAAAGTTTATTCGTACTATACTTTCATTGCTATATCGCAAGTATTGCTATAAATGTCTTATAAATTTATCGGCGTCAGCAGACCGGTCATGTAAATAGCTGCGTAACATTCAGTCAAGTTCCCTCATGCAGATGTTGTTAATTCTTTAATTTATACCACCTGTTCCCGCCGGGGGCGTTCAGTTCACAGATAAATGTTATATTATCGATAAAATTATGGTTTAATCTATAAATAAAAATATAACTTTGGAGGGCAAAATATGTCACATCTCGTCTATATTGACTTAAGATTATTATTATCCTCGTTATGACAAAAATATCTTGCAGGCTCACTTGAGTCACGAATACCAAGAACAAGTTTTGTTTTTGTCCTTTGTGCAGAGAAGATTGTAGGTAGCGAGTGACTGGGATCTTCGCGGCGGGGTAAAAGTCGACAGCATAAACAGTAACCTCAGTGGTAGAGCTTTTGACCTTCAGATATACGGGTAAAAAACCGTCACCTTCGCCACTTTTGACCTCTTAAACTTTTATTGAATGTATAATATATTTTTGTTAATCTGTATTATGATATATTAAATTAGCTCCTAATTAAAAACTAACACAGCTGCATTTAAATTATACCAACTTGATTATCGCTAGTCGCAGGTGATGAGTCACAATAACGTGGCTAAAGTAAGTTGACCAAACCACACACTAGAAGATGAAGAGACGACGACGTTTCGGTCCGTCCTGGACCATTCCCAAGTCGATTGTCTTGAGAATGGTCCAGGACGGACCGAAACGTCGTCGTCTCTTCACCTTCTAGTGTGTGGTCTGGTCAATCGCTAGTCGCACCTCTTCTGGTACAAGGAGCCGAAGGCAGGAAGGTAGAATCACCCTCAGGATGGGTGTTTACACAGCTGTATTTCAGAGGGGGCCGGGTTCTAGTTCCTGGGCCTCGTGGATCTTCTTATACTAGCATTTGAACTCTTTGATAAAGTTTGCCTCTAAGGCTTACCTAATGCTGAACAGGTTCATCCTCGGTTATCTCTTGGGTTGATTCTGCTGTGCAGCTTTCACTTGTTTCCTTTCTTCAGCGTTTCTAGATTTTATTTTAACTAGTTCTCGAATTGTTGCGACTGTGACGAGGGATGTCCATTGTGCTGTGTAATGGTGACTGCGACCAGGGACGTCCATTGTACTGTGTGATGGTGACTGTGACGAGGGACGTCCATTGTACTGTGTGGTGTTGACGCGTCCAGTATAATTACCAACTTTCCCGCACACAGCCTCTGGCGCTTCTGGTCTTCGGACTGGTGAGTGTGACCGTCGCCTTCCCTGAGAAACTGGACCACTTCGGGGACGACGCTAACCACGACGACGATGCTGCCGATGTCGACTACGAGGAGGAGCCCAAGAGACCCTACAGCTTCTCTTATGCTGCCTCCCGCTATTACAACGGCGCCCCCGACAGGGAACACAAGGAGCAGCGAGGCGAGGACGGCATCACCAGGGGCGTCTTCAGGTAGGTCCTCGCTGAACTTAAAATTATGTGATGAGTATTACCTAGGCTCTCTAGGGTGAGTGAGTGTATCCTGGGTGATGAGTATACACTTGGTATAGCCTAAACATATTTGATACGGACTGTTGAGCAAACTTTCACTTCTGTGCTCAGTATACCGTGGAATGATGTCCTCCAGTTTCCCTCACTGGCTACGACTGTGGTATCTTGGGTGCCACTCAAAGAAATTTAGACCATATGGTTTGCAATACCTAGATATTTTACTTACTAATTTGATTTGATATTTTACATATTTGTTTTATTATAGTGAATCTTACAGTTGCTGTTGTTATCACAACCAGAGGCTTTTTATTTGTCTATAAATGTTATGATTTGGTTGACTTAGCGCTTTGTGCTTCGCTGCACTGTTACTGGTCAAGTGATCTTGCTTTGTTTTCGTCCAGAGCCTCTGTAGAGACATCAACATTTTTATCATGGATTTATGTTTCACATGTCAACATTATGTAAGCCTGGCCTTCTGCCCTTTTCCTTTGTTATTGTATCAATATAGCATATCTATATTATTACCTAAATATAGCATATCTATATTATTACCTAAATATAGCATATCTATATTATTACCTAAATATAGCATATCTATATTATTACCTAAATATAGCATATCTATATTATTACCTAAATATAGCATATCTATATTATTACCTAAATATAGCATATAGCATTACTTAAATATAGCATATAGCATTACTTAAATATAGCATATAGCATTACTTAAATATAGCATATAGATAACTAAATATAGCATAAAGATAACTAAATATAGCATATAGATAACTAAATATAGCATATAGATAACTAAATATACCATATAGATAACTAAATATAGCATATAGATAACTAAATATAGCATAAAGATAACTAAATATAGCATATAGATAACTAAATATAGCATATAGATAACTAAATATACCATATAGATAACTAAATATAGCATATAGATAACTAAATATACCATATAGATAACTAAATATAGCATATAGATAACTAAATATATTCGTACCAACTATCCAGTTACTCTTCCTCTCCTCCCTGACCAGGTACGTTGACCCTCGCCATCAGGTGCAAGAAATAGTGTACTTTGCTGACGAAGACGGCTTCCACGTGGACGCCTCGAACCTGCCGAAGGAGACCGTGGCTGTGCAGAACGCTCGCAACAAACACCACGAACTCTTTGAAAAGATCAAGCAGGAACACGCGCGGATCGGAGCCGAGAGGGCAGTCCTTAAGGCCCAAGAGGAGGGCGATGATCAATACGACTAGTGCTCGGGTCTGTGCCTCTGGGGCCAGATTCACGAAGCAGTTACGCGAGTACTTACGAACCTGTACATCTTTCTTCAATCTTTGACGGCATTGTTTACATTTATTAAACAGTTTACAAGCATGAAAACTTCCCAATCAACTGTTTTTATTGTTATAAACAGCCTCCTGGTGCTTCGGAGCTCATTAACTGTTTAACAATTGTAAACAAAGCCGCCAAAGATTGTGAAAAGATGGACAGGTTCGTAAGTGTTTGCGTAACTGCTTCGTGAATCTGGTCCCTGGACGACTGGCGGAGCGGCAGAGACTGAAAACAGTTCCCGAGAAATATTACCTAGAAGAGACGGACAAGCTGGAAGCAGTGATAAGGTGGCGAGAAGTGCATGGGTTACACAAACGGGTCGGGGGACAGATTGGAAATTCGTAAAGAGTGACTTAGAAGTCACTCTTACCGCATTATATATAGATGGTGATGGACACGGGGAGGGATATTCCTACTTGATAAATAACTCTTAAGGGGACTGGAGAAGGATATTTATTTTCATATTTATCAACTCTGTGCCCATTCTTGAATCTTTTGAAGAGAGAAAACCAAGACATTCATTCTAGAGAACATTTGTATATCGTCACATATTAAGTGATATCATTTTGATGATTATTCGCATTAGTGAATCAAATACATTATTTCTTAGTTCTGTGACAATGACACGATTTATTAATGTATTTCAAGACTGGACACATTACATCATAATTGTAGGTCACATTTTGTAACTACTGTACTGGAATTGTTTGTGCTTGTCGGAAAACTATTTTGTCTTCATTAATCTAGTCAAAATTTATTGTTATGCGCTTCTACTTAATACACCATTAAGACTGCCTTTATTCACTTAGTGAGTTCGATGTGCTCTGAATACTGCTTTTTTGTGTAGCAGGCGTTTCCAATGTGCTTAGTATATTATGTATCTATTGTAGTCTTGCTTACTTGCTTAAATAAATGAATAAAAAAGGAATTTTGTTTCAAACTGTCTTCAAGTAATTTTGTTGGGCACCATTCCTTTCGCACCGTCCTATCCCAAATCCTTATCCTGGTCCCTTCCAAGTGTTATATATTAATAGCTTGGCGCTTTACCCCTGATAATTCCCTTCCCTTCAAGTAATTCCTTCACAAAGTGGCTCTTGGCCGCTGGAATGCCAGTCGCGGGCTTCAACTGCTCCGTTGACGACAGACCCGTCCAGGGTCGTGCCGTCGACGGCAGGGACACCCAGAGGTCGAACCGTCGACGCAGATATATCCAGGATCGTGCCGTCGACGACCTGAACAAGTGTCAGGTCACCTGGGGGAACAAGGATAAGTGTCAGGTCACCTGGGGGGAACAAGGATAAGTGTCAGGTCACCTGGGGGAACAAGGATAAGTGTCAGGTCACCTGGGGGAACAAGGATAAGTGTCAGGTCACCTGGGGGAACAAGGATAAGTGTCAGGTCACCTGGGGGAACAAGGATAAGTGTCAGGTCACCTGGGGGAACAAGGATAAGTGTCAGGTCACCTGGGGGAACAAGGATAAGTGTCAGGTCACCTGGGGGAACAAGGATAAGTGTCAGGTCACCTGGGGAAACAAGGATAAGTGTCAGGTCACCTGGGGAAACAAGGATAAGTGTCAGGTCACCTGGGGGAAAGAGGATCTGACTTGCGACTAACTCCCAAACATACTTCGACTCATAACTCAGCCTCTTTACTAAACCTCACACTTTTCATTCATTCATACATTAGGATTCGGTCCAGCGTCTTTTCTAGTGCATTTTCAATGCGAGTGACTAAGAGTCTCAACAAGATCGGAACTCAGTTGTACGACGTCGTTTTGTGGGAGAGAATTGGACAATGGAAGTGCAGGATTGTCAGTGACAGACATATCAGGTACAGGTACAAGCAAAGGTTGTGGTTGAGTATGAGGTAGCGGTTGACGATGGGCTGAGTTAGGTTGTTTCAACGCACTACTGTACTGCAGGTTGTTGGTAGGAAGAACCTTAGTTTTCGTCGCTATGTATGAAGGACATTGTTTGAATGTAATGTCATGATTGCCACCACAGTTTGAGCAGGTGAGTGTATCTGACACACAGACTTGTGTGTAATGGGAACCAACAGATGGGAGCATTTTCCACATTTAATGTCTTTGGTGCTGAGCCCGGTCTCGTGTTTATCTGCTGGTTGTACAATTGCTGGTCGGTTGCTTCTCCCTTGCTCCTCTGCCATTTTCTCTGATCTCCGCAGTGTTGTAGGGGGTACTGAAGTCATTATTAGGGGTAGATGAAAGGGGAGAGAGGATGGGAAAGATGAAAGGGAGAAGGGAAGGGCAGGAAAGTGGGAAGAGGTGAAATGGTGGAGGGAAAAAGGGTGTAATAGGGTGGAAGGAGAGACATACTATTCCCCTGGCACCGCTGGGTGCCCCTCTTAGTTTATACTATAAGAGAAAACGTTTGGCTGTCTGACTGGTTCAAAGTTGGAGAATAGATTAGCTAACCTCCCCAAATTTGAAGGGAAAATGGTCTGGGGTATGGGACAGACATAGGCTGGTTGGGGTAAACCTTAGTTAAATGCTTTACGAAATATTAGCAATTACAGAGACCCCCATTAAATTGTCATGCAGTAAGGTGTGAAATGTTTGGTGTGCTTCCCATAGAATTTGTATAGATTGTAGTAATACATTTTCCGAGAGACCCATACAGATGTTTCAGTGCCTCTTAATAAAAAAAATTATGAGAAAAGAGGAAGAGCTTGAGAAACCACGGGGATGAAGAGAGGAGGGCGAGGGGACGGACAAATGGGACCAAGGGGATGGGGACGAGGAGGTCAAGGGGGGAGATTAGTGAAGAAAAGGAAAGGTGGGGGAAAGGGCAGAAAAAGTCGGAGAAAAAACCCAGGTGAAAGCAGGCACCCCTTCTGTAGACATTATGTATATGGAATTGTCTGTCTGTTCAAGGTTGGAAAGGAGAAGAGAAGGTAGGTAGATGGGGTGAGGGGGAGAATGGGGAAAATGGGGGAGATAAGAAGGAAGAGGGGGGGAGGGGAGAGAGAAAGAAGGGATGGGAGGGGGGGGCAAAAAAGGAGGGATGTGGAGGAAGATAAGGGATGAGGGGGAGAGAGAAAAAGAAGAGGGGTAGAAAGGGGGATAAGGGAAGAGACAGACTATCCTGCAGGTGTCTTGCAAATTGTCTATACAGTATACCTAGGTCATAAAAGTATTTGTGTGTACGTCTGATAGCATACTACTTGTGAAGGAGGAAATGTATATGTTTATCTCTCAGAATGTTTGGTAATATGTTTATTTGTGATGTGTGTCTGTGTATGTATTAACACGTTGTACTGAATGGGGTGAGAATAGCTTGTGCTACCTCATCCCTTTGTGTGTATTTTACCTCAATAAACTTATTTCAATTTCAATTTCAATTTCAATCCCAGGCACCACCGGGTACCCCCTCCTAGTAGTAGTAGTAATAATAATAATAATAATAATAATAATAATAATAATAATAATAATAATAATAATAATAATAATAATCAAAATAATAATAATGATGATGAGTAGGATGATGATGATGATAAGGAGGAGGAGGAGGAGGATTATCAGCCCCAGGAGGGAGCCGGGCCGTGGCCATGATGGGTGTGGGAACAACAGCACCACCTGTTGACTGCAGCAGGAAGCCAAGCAGCTGACAGTGCCAGGTAGCCCATTTCTCCTCGCCCGGGCTCACACCTCTCATGTACACTAAACTCAAAGTTGTGAGAGACGTCAAGAAGCGTCGCGCGGAGAAGGAACGAGGATGAATGGCTTCATCAAATTACTGTTGGCGACTGCAGTAGGTGTGGCTGTGGTGGGTGTGGCTATCCACGAGGTGTGGCCGGGGTCCCTGGCGAGTGTGGTTATGAAGAGTGAAGGTGTGAGAGCTGCGGTGATGGCCCTGCATAACTTGCTGCTGGTGCCTGGCACCCAGCAGGAGCAGGAGCAGGAACAGCCTCCTCCAGGGGTCAAGAAGGAGAGGATCTTCACCGTGGAGGAGCTGGCCAGATACGACGGCCGGGAGGGCAACAAGGGGCCCTACTTGGCTCTCCTCGGCCGGGTTTACAACGTCAAGAAGGGCAAAAAGTTCTATGGCACGGGCGGTGGTTATGAATTTTTTTCTGGTATGTAATTGTTGTGTTTCTTTCAAGCTTCAGATTGACATCTTTACAGGTTTTGTCAGAAGTTCGTACACTTGCCTCTCGGCCAGTGTGTTGACCTGGCATCAAGGACTATCACTTATTCTTTATAGTAGTACTGTAGTACAGTATAGCTCAAGTACAGTGTGGACTTAAACAGAGGTAGATAAAAATAATTGTGTATACACTAGTTGAAATTGAATTGAAATTGAAATAAGTTTATTGAGGTAAAATACACACAAAGGGATGAGGTAGCTCAAGCTATTCTCACCCCGTTCAGTACATCGTGTTAATACATACATATACACACATCACAAACAATAAACATATTACCAAACATTCTGAGAGATAAACATATACATTTCCTCCTTTACACAAGTAATATATTTGTAAAAGTATTTTCTGACACTACTAATGTGGCACTAATTTAAGGTTAGTTTTGGATCTTCGACTTGGGCTTGTAACGTACGATTACATTACGTTGAATGTTATATTAAAGCATATATAGCATAAAGCTATATTAAATGAATTTACAGGAAAGTTAGTAACTTATTAGCATATGCATTGTGGGCAGGTATTCTAATATGTGGGAAAGTGGTCATGGCACCCTCTTCCATCCCAGAATGTAGTTTGTGGATCCTCTTATATAACTACATCTAGAAGCATGCACACAGGATGGAATGGCATGATCTGAAATAAAAAGGTAGCAACTGCCACTTGGCTGGGATGGAAGTTTTGAAGAGTATGTAGGTCAATGTTACAGTATATTGGTATACTAGTTAAGAACAGATTTTGCAAGCTGGTGAGAATAGTCCTAATCTTAACACAAACTACATTTTGCTTTACAGTAATAATGTTTTATGTTTTTTAAATGCATCATTGCAGATTCCAATCTTTCTGGTCTTAATTGTGGGCTGAATTTGTGGTTGGAAAAGGCAGGGAGCATTAAATATTGACATTAAAATACAGTATATTTTTTTCATGTAAAGTTTGAAGAGCGTAAGTTTCGAGAGATTTTGAATATCGGTTTTCATATATTGTTTGATTTACATGGGTCTAATCACCAGCACAGATCTATTGGCTACCTATATGTATATTCATTCTTTGGTACGATTGATTGGGGTGTACTCCTCTTGATCAGCAGTCAAAACAGTTTTCTTATTCCTAATGATCTTGATAAAGTATATCCATACTTGTAGAAATATAATAACCATAAGTAATTTATAATTGCATATTGAATGAGGAGAGTTTGAGTATTTGATTTCTTATAACTTCTTTCTTCATGCAATACATATGCAGTACTGTATGTCAGGCATACAAGATGTTCGGTATGTTGTTGAAAGTAGTCTCTTTACAGGCCGTGATGGAAGCAGAGCATTTGTTACTGGAGATTTTACTGAAGAAGGGCTAATTGATGATATATCAGGGCTGACAAGTTCTGATTATATTGGGCTTGACGAATGGACGAAGTTCTACGAAAGTGACTACAAATATGTAGGCAAGTGAAAATTCAGTGCATATATATATATTTTTTTTTATGAACAATAATATCATATTGTATATTGGCATTTTTTTTTTTAATCATTGTAGGGCTCGTACTGAACTTGATCGCACTTTAAACTAAAAAGGCATTCTTTAACCCATGTACTTATGCAGTGTATCCGGGGCCATTGTTTCTTTTCCTTAATGTTTATTGGCTGGTGTGTGATGCATAACTAACCAGTAATTTTGGTAATTGAATATCAATTTCATTCTGAATGGTGTTTTCTCCATTTCCTCATGTACTTGACATTTTCTTGCCATCTTCACACTTTAAAGGTCTATTCTGATAATTGTGACTCATTTGGGTGTTCAGTCTCCATGTGTGCACACATTCTTATGTGTAAAAATATACATGTTTGTGAAATGAAATGAGAAGTGCAGTAAAATGAGAAAAGTGATAATGTCTTCTAAAAAAAAAGTTCATGAAAACTAGAAATGTTCATTGAATACGAGGGAAAGAGATTGATAGTATTATCTTGACAAAAAATAAAAAAAAATCCAAGGTTAATCTAAAATTAAAGATGTTGCGGTGAACTAAAATAAGAAATGCACAAGGTTAATTTTGTTTGGGATGAAAAGTACAAAAGTTTAGGGAAAGTGTTGCATAGCAGAAAAGCCAGAGATATGGATGTTTTGACATCTAGAGTAGTAACCAATGATAGGCTTATAAGGGAGAGTTATAAAAGTGAAGTACAGTATTATTGTAGTTTGGAGTGATGGGCTGAAAACCCTCTTTTGGAAAGGGAAATGGAAGGCTTGCTTATAGAACAAGTTTTGTGATAGATTAAGGTATAAAAGTATACCAGACTATAGTTATAGGATTTCCTGAAATGTGTTGGGAAGTTCTTGGGAGGCATCAGATATAAATGTTTTTCAGATACATGTTATCTATGGGATTTTCCCATCGTTGAAAAGGTGGCCATGTGTAAAATCTTCCAGAGATACTACTTATACTATTAAGTATTAAAGTCCTTGAAATATTTATCAAAACTCTTTAGGCTAGTTTGTTTAAATGAGTCATATTGCTATGAAGCCCCCGTGTTCATAAGCTATTAATAACTTTTAATTCATGATGTTACTAATTTTATCTAAAGTATCATGTTTTTTTTTCAACAGGGAAAGTAATTGGTAGATTTTACAATGAAAAAGGTGAGCCAACTTCATATTATTATGATGTACAACGATGGATTTCTCAAGCATACAATGATAAAGAAAATGAGAATAAAGAAAAAAAGATGTTCCCTCCATGTAATTCAGAGTGGGCTCCTGAATCTGGAACAAGAGTTTGGTGTACAACAAGGAGGTATGGTGAAAGTCAACATTTTTACTGTACGAAAGTATAATTAATTCAATCTCTAGGTAACATAGGTACTATGTCATTAATCCTTTATAACCAGTCCATTATGTCCAGTATATTTTGTTCCATCTTGGCAAACCTATCCATACCAGGGGAACCTAATGACAATTATTCACCTGACACCATAAAATATAAATACTGAAAATAAAAAGCTGTGACAAGACATTGTGCAGTAATACCAAGGAAAAGGTAACAGAAAATGCTTCATTATTCTTTTGCATCATATTAGTATTGGTATTCCCAACCACGCCTTTGTTCTTCAATTTCCTTCCATTGGAGTGATGCAATTAGTGTGGTGATAGCACAGTCGACTTGCAACCGAATGGTCCTGGGTTTGATTCCCATGCAGGACAAGGCATTTGGGCACATTTCCTTTCATCTGGTGCCTCTGTTCACCTAGCAGTAAATAGGTATCTGTGAGTTGTGTAATTGTTGTGGGTTACATCCTAGGGCAGGTTACTAGTTACTCGTGATGGCTTTGATCAAACAGGCTTCCTGTCCCAAACAATGGAAAACCATTTCTACTGCTCACCTGCCTCTATTTATATTCAACTTTCGGTTGTTGTAACACAACCTCTCATGTTTATATATTCTTGATAACCTGTTTTTTAAAATCATAAATATCTTCAGCATTTTTTGAGTTATCACAATTACTTGCATTTTCAATTTATTTCTACATTTTGTTTATTACTGCACACTCTTGTCATAGTTTCTTTAACTGTCATAATTTATATTTTATGATGTCAGGGAAATAATTCTCATTAGGTTCCTTTGGTAAAGATTCTTTATGGTTTGTTATGTTTATAATGTTTGATCTGGGATGCATCACCCTCCCATTTTCATAGACAGCATTATGCGCCATCAGGGCTGGCTGACATTCTTTACTGGCACAACAAGGATGCTTTCAAATATCCCTATTAGTTTCAGGGTTGGCATTGTAGTTACTTGGGCTGGGGGGTTTTAGATTAAAAATCCAATGTGGGTGTTAAAAAGCTTTTTGCTCTAATGTGGTCCAACTTACTTATTTCTATTTAAATTTAAACTTTGCCATTTTTATCTGTTGGTTAAATGGATGAAAACCCAATCTGGGCAGGTTGGGTTTTAAGAAGAAACCCTGGCTTTCTTACCAATCCTGATTGGATTACAATAACATTTGGGAGACATCTGGAGATTAAATTACCACCTAATGGATTATAGTGCTAAGAATATTCATAATGTTTTCATTGGGACTAGGGATGCTGCAGTCCAATCATATATAGTTTTTAATCTTTGGTTGCTCATCCTACTACTACTACTCCTTGTTGACCAACCACACAGTAGAAAGTGAAGGGACGACGATGTTTCGACTTGAGTGATCCAGGATGGACTGAAACGTCGTCGTCCCTTCACTTTCTAGTGTGATTTGGTCAACATATTTCAGCCACGTTATTGTGACTCCTCGTCTGCACTACTACTCCTTATGTACTGTACTATTCTGTGCTGCTTTTTTTTTTTTTTTTTTTTTTTTTTTTTTTTTTTTTTTTTTATGTAACCTTGTATACTGGTAGGTAGTGATTGAATATGACAGCTTGACTAAATCAATTTTTAGTAATGTATAGACAGTATATGTAATTCATATTGTGATTGTAAAAGTATCTTTCAGTATGCACAAATTAAATTTGTGATTTTTTAATAAAAAGTATCTTGTATGCCAACAGTGGTGGTGTGGGACGCGATTGGGTCGGGGTACCACGAAAATTATACAACCCAGGTCATAGTAAACCCCGGTGTGCATGTGTTAAAGACTTTGGACCACCTTCACATGATCCAACAAGGATGCCACATGACGACAATGGGGATTTAGACCACCCTAACTTGGAGGAATATCCTGGTTGTATATCAGACCAACCCACCTGCACATTTAAGGAGGATTAGATGTACAGTATATTTGCATATATAAAAAATGTATGAAACAGCTCAATGGTAAGAAAGTTTTTAAACAGCAAGGTAGTCTTATATTTTTAAAACACTATCCTGCATAGCTAGCTATAATTGAACCTTTGCAATCAAATACATGCTCAGCTGTGACTTGCACACATGCCTGTAATGTGCATCTATATTTTAAAATTTAATTACTGTACTTTTATACACTTGTTTCCTATTTAGGGATTTCCACATTTTACCCTCAGTGCCCATGCTTAACTAAACCAACTCCAAGCTTTATGCACCTCATTTATCTTCATCAGTATGTGTGCCTATCACTAAACTTGGCTCACTCAAATACACCTCAATACACCTCCAGTCCCCTCGTGTTCTGTCACTTTATGGTCATCCCCTTGAATACAAAGATTCCGCGAAGCTTTGGGGTTATTCCTTGACACTCGTTTGTCTTGGTCTCCCCATATCTCTTACCTCCGTGTTGAGTGCTCTAAGGCCCTTACCCTCCTTCGGGTCTTGTCCCATACTTCTTGGGGGGCAGATAGGCGCACTCTCCTTGCTTTACATTCCTCTCTCGTCCTGTCTAAGCTCGATTATGGTTGCCCTGCTTACTCGTCTGCTTCTCCTTCTACTCTTCGCCGTCTTGATGCTTTGCACCATACTGGGTTGCGCCTCAGTTCTGGTGCCTTTCGTTCGACTCCCATCCTTAGCTTGTATGTTGACACTGGCTTCCTGTCTCTCCAGGACCGCCGTGATCGCTACTGTCTTCGCTATCTTGCGCGGTCCTTGCAACATCCTTCCTCTCGCCTCTGTCGTGCTTTAACTTTTACCCCTCCTGCGGTTCCTGTTCCTCTTCACCACCTCCCTCTTTCTGTCCGGTTATCTCGCCTGCAGGATTCTCTTTCCGTTCGTATTTCTGATGTTTCTCCTCGTGTTGTTCCTTCTTTGCCCCCGTGGAGGGTCCCTCTTCTGCGGTTTTGTACATCCTTGACCCGTATCACTAAAGCTTTTACCCCTCCTACGGTTCTAAAACGCCTTTTCCTCGAGCACTTTTCTTCTCACTCCCGCTCCGTTTCTGTCTTCACCGATGGGTCTAAGTCAGCGGACGGTGTTGGCTACTCTGTTGTTTTTCCTGATCGCACTTATATGTGTCGCTTGCCTCCGGAGACTAGCATCTTTACAGCGGAACTTTATGCTATTCTCTATGCTCTTCGTCTCCTACTTTCTCGTTGTCAGTCTTCCTTTGTAGTTGTTGTTGACTCTCGTAGTGCCCTTATGGCTCTCGGGTCCTTTAATCCAGTTCATCCAGTGGTTGTCGAGATCCAGCATTGGCTGTTTCTCGTTCACAGTAAATTTAAGTCGGTTGAGTTTTGTTGGGTTCCCAGCCATATTGGTGTGTCTTTAAATGAGCGTGCGGATGCTGCCGCCAAGGAAGCTGTCCGCTCTTGTCCCATCTCTCGTAAGGGCATTCCGTATTCCGACTTTTACCCGGTTATCCATTCCTCAGTCCTTACCCGTTGGCAGGCTTCTTGGTTGTCTGTTACTGGTAACAAGCTACGTACTCTTAAATGTTGTGTTTCCTCGTGGCAGTCCTCCTTCCACCGTAACCGGCGGTGGGAAACAGCTCTGGCGAGGTTACGTATTGGCCATACTCGCTTAACCCATGGTCACTTGATGGAGCGCCGCCCTGCTCCTTATTGTCCTAGTTGCATTGTCCCTCTTACGGTCGTGCATGTCCTTCTTGAATGTCCTGACTTCCAGGACGAGCGTATGTCTTGCTTTCCGACCGCCCCTCGCGGTCGCCTGTCCCTCGATAGAATTCTTGGTGACTCGGATACTTTTGATATCGTTCGCCTTATGCGTTTTTGTTCTCGTATTGGCATCCTTGGTGATATTTAGCGCCCTCTGATTATTTTGCGTCTTTGATGGTGCTACATAGCCTTCCCGGTTTGGTGCCTTCTTTTGATAATTACTTACTTACTTACCCTCCTTCGGGTCTTGTCCCATACTTCTTGGGGGGCAGATAGGTGCACTCTCCTTGCTTTACATTCTTCTCTCGTCCTGTCTAAGCTCGATTATGGTTGCCCTGCTTACTCGTCTGCTTCTCCTTCTACTCTTCGCCGTCTTGATGCTTTGCACCATACTGGGTTGCGCCTCAGTTCTGGTGCCTTTCGTTCGACTCCCGTCCTTAGCTTGTATGTTGACACTGGCTTCCTGTCTCTCCAGGACCGCCGTGATCGCTACTGTCTTCGCTATCTTGCGCGGTCCTTGCAACATCCTTCCTCTCGCCTCTGTCGTGCTTTAACTTTTACCCCTCCTGCGGTTCCTGTTCCTCTTCACCACCTCCCTCTTTCTGTCCGGTTATCTCGCCTGCAGGATTCTCTTTCCGTTCGTATTTCTGATGTTTCTCCTCGTGTTGTTCCTTCTTTGCCCCCGTGGAGGGTCCCTCTTCCGCGGTTTTGTACTTCCTTGACCCGTATCACTAAAGCTTTTACCCCTCCTACGGTTCTAAAACGCCTTTTCCTCACTTGCCTTTTGTTCTTCATCAGTCTTGTTACATATTTATGTCCACTCAAGTCATTTCATCATGGCTTGTTTTGTAAAAAATGTTAACCCGTGTATTTAAATTTGAGTTAGTTCACTTGGGATGTCTTACAGATAGTATAAATGTGTGCTAAGGTAGAAATATGGGAAGTGATGAATTTATAAATGAATGACTTTAGAGAATGCATATGAATGCAAGTGGGTGTGTGCTAGATTAAAGAAAAGCAGTGAATTTTCCACACCATAAAGACAAGAAAAGCAGAGTAAGAATTAGCATTTCAGTAATCGCTGTAATAGAATATAATTACTCCAACATTGACAAAGATGGCAATAGATATTAACCTGTTCTCTGCAACACTTGCTCTGGTCGAATGGATTAAGACTGCAGTTCCCTGTAAAATTTCAAAATATTTTGATATTTGACCATTTACTCAGCCCTTCATAACTAGTACCTGAACCTGGTTTGTGCTGCTATCTGTTAGTGACAGAATAAAGTGTAGACCCAAATGGTACTGCAAAACGTGCCACGATTGCATGCCCCTACACTTGCACCTTTAAATTAATGTTATTTGTTACACCCTACATTTACATCATATGAATATAAATTGTTTGGCATTCAAATCTTAATTCTCGGTGAACCTAGTATTTAAGCAGCTCACTAGTAATACATCTTCGTTCTTCTACAACCATTCCATTTTAAGAAGACCAGAAAACACCACCAGATAACAGAAAGTCTGTTATCCATTTCCGCTTCTGCATTGTCCCTCTTACGGTTGTGCATATCCTTGTTGAATGTCCTGACTTCCGGGACGAGCGTGTGTCTTGTTTTCTGACCATCCCCCGCGGTCGCTTCTCTCTAGATAGTATTCTTGGTGTCTCAGATACTTTTGATATCGTTCGCCTTGTGCGTTTCTGTTCTCGTATTGACATCCTTGGTGATATTTAGCGCCCTCTGATTATCCCGCACATTTGATGGTGCTACATAGCCTTCACAGTTTGGTGCCTTCTTTTGATAATTACTTACTTCCTCTTCTGCCCAACCACTGGAAATAAAGTATAAATGGCTGTAAACTAAAGCAACCTTGTAACATATTCCTTGGACTGGATGATGGAGCAGAGATCTTGCTTCATACAGGTTGGAATTCAATTACCGACCATCCAAGTGGTTGGGCACCATTCTTATCCTTTCCTATCCAAAATCCTCGTCCTTTCCCAGTGTTTTATAGCCGTATTGGCTTAGTACATTCTGATAATTGCCTTAAATTACCTTGTAACATGTACTAAAGAGAGCACCAAGTCTCATTCTCTAGTTTGAGAGGACCTAATCTAGAATCTTATTAAATGTTAATACATGTATTTGATTTAAAACAAGAAATTTATGGTTGTGAAGGGGTTTTGACATACTCATTTGACTGACTTTGTTTCATGGATGTCAAATAGTTCTCAGTTGCTGGTTGTAGTCTGTGTTAAGTAAAATGTAAATAGTTTTACTGTATAATGCTGCCTGAAAATATTGTGTATGTGGTGAGATGTGTATTGCAAATATAATTTCAAAATATAATAATACATTCCATATATTCTGTGATATCTTAAGTCTTGGTCTATGAGAATGCATCACTTGCAGGTGTGCCTAATATAGAATGTTTCCTGGACATTTTCATTGGCATGGCTATAATGTCTGAAAATCATTCGCCACCTACTTGCACTGAGAAGGAAAAATCCAATCTGTTGACAAGTTGAAAGGTGCCTAGGGCAAGTACTGTGTGTGTGAAAATGGTATAGATAATTTTTTTTTCCTCTCCCTTCTCTCTTCTCTGTTTTTGCCACTCCATCAGCTACTTGGTGGAGTGGCATAGGAAGACAGGAAATTGGTATTAATCAAATGATAACCTAGAAGTGTGAAAAAAGTGGACCACCCAGTAGCTGTATTGAAAGTGTAGCCAGGGAAGTTGACCATTAATATATTATATATATATATATATATATAATAGTGGGGGACACATGGGTGTCCCATGTCCCCTCACTAGCCCTCCATGATAATACTGTATGGTACAAAACTTCCGTGGGTGATTTAAGACCAATCACTAGTGTTTTTTCAATTATTTTATAAATATTTTGAATAAAATAAATTTTACAGTAACCTGTACGTATTGGCAGCCTTGGTGATATTTAGCGCCCTCTGATTATTCCGCACATTTGATGGTGCTACATAGCCTTCCCGGTTTGGTGCCTTCTTTTTGATAATTACTTACAGTACCCTGTAGTATTGTTTCTATGTGAGTAAGTTAGTAAGGTAGTTAGCCACTTGGTTTAATTCTCTCATGAAAGCACTGATGTAGAGGCTATGATATGGGTACCCCTTCCCATAGTGATCATTATTTCCTTGGCCACATTCACATTGCACATTGCTCTTGTGAGGAATTCAATTTCTCAATTATTAAGCTTTATTTCTTGTGGGCTCTGCCCCTGGACAGCCTTCCCTCAGGTAGGCTATATAGTCGCTATGATTTGGCGCTTTCCTCGTAATAATCGCCCCCGACCCTTTTTATTTGTATTTTTTTGTCTTTCCATTTCATGCCGCTTCATGTATTACCTATGATTATACAGTTAAGGTTTGACATATATTGCAAATACTAAGCGTTAAATAAAAATAAATCCAAGCAT